ATCTTGGAACATCGGCATTCTTATGGGCAGCCGACAGTCGTGGTCTTTTTGAACCTAAAGGCTGCTTTCGATTCAGTCGCTCGTAACGTTCTCTGGAGCTGTCTCCTTCGCAAAGGAGTACCAGAGAAACACGTGATTCTATTGAGATCACTGTATGCTCACTCAGAAAGCAGGGTGAGAGTTTATGGACAATTGTCTCGGGCGTTCAACACTTCTAGTCATGTTCGTCAGGGGTGTCCGATTTCCCCCTTCCTGTTCAACTTTGTCATGGTCGACATTCTGGAGGGTGCGTTTGAAGAGTACAGCTGGCTTGGTGTTGAGCTTCTTCCTGGCGCTAGATTGGCCGACCTGGAGTACGCGGACGACATTGTCTTACTTAGTCCCTCTGCCGAAGACATGCAGACCATGCTGGACAGGTTGAGCGACCGAGCTGCTTTGTATGGAATGCGCTTCGCACCTTCAAAGTGCAGTGTTGCTTCAAGACTGGGGCACTTCACCTCCCACTTTCTTCATTGCAGGTTTTCCGCTTGAGACTGTGAACAGTTTCACATATTTGGGTAGCACTATCTCGTCAGCCTGTAATATTGCTGATAAGATATCACCGAGGATTCGCAAAGGCACGAATTACCTTCGCTGCAATGCGTCAACTGTGGCGTGGAAAAGACATCTGGTTGTCGCTTAAAGGAAGGATATATAATGCCTGTGAGCGTTCCATTCAGCTTTATGGTTCGGAAACGCGGCTTGTTTACAGAGGAGATATCAACAGACTTGCTGTGTTTGACTGTCGTTGTCTCCGTCAATTGGACCATATTAAGTGAACTGATTGCGTGAGCAATGTGGCCGTTCGCTGAAGCGCATTCCGGAGTGCTCGTGATGCGTGATCAATTGGTCAACTAATTACGTTGCACAGCTTGAGATGGTTAGGTCATGTTCTCCGTATGCCAGCTGAGCGTTAACCGTACCTGGGCATTATATACTGAGACCACCAACAATTGGGTAAAACCGCGTGGTGGTCAAGCAACAACGTGGTCACGAAGTATGAAGACCTTGACTGCTCCATTGAGGAAAGTGGGTAGGTGTCGCCGGGCTGGATGGGGTCCTCGTGATCACCCAAACCGCTGGTTAGAGATGCTATCCGAGATGGCGATGTGTCGCAGTCAATGGCGTACCTGTATCCATACCATTTCTAGTTCTTCCGCTTAGTCTTCTTTTATTAATTTTAAAACTTCTTAGTGGCGTTTTCTTCTAGGATATTCCACGTGACTGTTGAGCTGAGCGGCGGCCTGAGCCACAGTACCTTTTGGTCAGGCTCATGGCTGTTATGATGATGATGACGAAGAAGAAGAAGAAGTGAAAGTGAAACGTCATTAGCAAGACAGCTTCTTACGGCTTTCACTGCCCCGCGTCATTACGTGCACTCACTTCACAGACAACTCCGTAAAACAACAACTTTCATGCCACTGGGCTCGATTTGCCGCCATCTCACCTAACGTCTCAAGCCACTTACTCTGCGAGTCGAGAGGGCCCCAGCCTGGGAGACGAACCCGATCTACGGTGCCCAATCCATTCGTGAACGACTCCATTTGTCTACGCCAGGTCATCAGTTGTCCACCTCGCACCTTCTGCCAGTCGGCCGCAGCGTCGGCATAGAGTGCTGGGTGTGGCAAACGACTAACTTGTATCCTTAGTACAAAACCCAGCCATCTAAGTCTGTACAAATGTAGTGACTGAACAAGAGAACTCTTTTGACAATCAACGCCAAACACCCGCTTCCTAACCTCCTCGTTGCTTACTCGCTGGTGTCACCCGATGCGAGCGAGTGAATGCAGACATCGGCAGTCAAATACCTGAAGACGGTTCGTGTCCCATACCTTGATCGACCAAGTTTCGCTGCTGTAAAGTAGCACAACCCTCATTGTTGTATGATATACGCGACCGTTACGCTTCAGAGAGATCCCTCTCTGTCGCCATATGTGCCTCAGATTAGCGAACACCGCCCGAGCTTCGGAGATGAGCTTCTATTTCACTCTCTACACTACGGTCGCTGATGCAGCTTCCCAGGTATAAAAAACGGTCAGTAACCTCCATGGTCTCATTATCGAACAATAAATCTACATAATCACAAACGTCTTGCAGAAGCACTTTGCAGTTTGAGACTGCAAAGCGCATTCTGAAGTACTTAGCTGAACGCAAGATAGCGTTTAACGTTGTTTTTGCTGTTTAGAAAGTGTCAATTAGCAACACCTTGCCATCAGCATAATCAAGATGTCAGCCTTCCACCAAGTAGGAGGTCCACACCGGCGCCTTATAAATACCACAGACAACTCCCCATCATATCATTCCTCACAAAATTAAGCAAAAATAGAGAAAAGGGGACAGCCTTGACGTACGCCGCTCATGGTGCTGAAACTGTCAGATAGCTCACTGTAAACTCTAACATGAGTCGAAGTATGGGAGTAAAGCGCCGACAGTATGTTCACATACTTGGTGGGTACACCCCTGCGTTTAAGCGACTGTAAAAGTGTAGATCGATCCACCGAATCGAACGCCCCTTTACATTCGAGAAATATGGCGATTGTTGGCCGGCGGTAAACGACGCTGCTCCAGAATTTGACGAACAGTAAAAATGTGGACTATACATCTCCGTCCAGGGCGAAACCCGACCTGTTCTTCCCTAATGATTGTCTCCCGAACTGCAGTGAACCGATGAAGTATAATGGAGGCCAGAACCCTAGAAATGACTGGGGTCAAACTAATTCCGGCATGGTTTTTCGTAAGAGCCCTTGATACCTTTCTTAAATACGGGAACTATTATCGCGTGACTTCAACACGGAGGAATGGTCTCCGTTGTTCACACAAGTTGAAACGACTAAGTCAAGACCTCTACTAACGCCTCTCCACCCTCTTTGAAAAGTGACGGCACGATACCATCTGGACCAGCAGCCCTATTACGTTTCAGAGTCGAGATGCAATAGCGAACCTTATTCTCAGTGAATGGTTCCAAATCTACCGACCAGGGTTATACACCACAAGTTTGTGGCGGCATCATAATGGAAGCAGGAGGCCAGCTAAATTGACTCTCAAAGTGTTCCGCCCACTGCTCCATTCTTCTGGATTTATTAGAAATTAGTGTGCCATCTATCTCGTTGATAGCTCCACTGACAGGCAGTCGTCCCAGACCAGCGGCACGGATCAGCTTAAACAGTTTACCAGTGTTCCCTGGGGTAAAAGCGATTTCCATTTCCCTAACTTTTTCCACTAACCAAACCTTACGATCAGCCTTAAGATTACATCTCAGTTTCCCACGGATATCTCATCTAGAATTACTATGTGAACTACCAGGAAGAATCTTCCGTATGGCTTCTAACAACTCTAGAGATTTCTCTGAAATTCAAAGTGTGTTCAGCTGATGTACCCTTGTGCCGCATGCTGCAGTACCCGATTTCTGAATCGCCTGTTAGATTTGAGTCCAGCAGCTGTGAGGATCTTCGGAGTGAGTACCACTAAGGCAGCCTCCTAAGCTGCTTTGGTACTTACGCTTAACCGGTGGTAAAGCCAATTTCTCAACAGCTAGTCTTTACTGTCGGTGGGGTCCTTGACCAGCAAAAGTAAAGACAAAACGACAACGTACCATTGCATGATCTGAATCTGAGTATGTGCTTCAATAAGAACAACAGTCTTGGATGGAACCTCGCCATCTATAACCAACGACTATGTGGTCTATTTGAGATCAGGACTGATTCAGAAGTGGTTCCCCCAGTATGACAATGATGTGCACAATGTCTAACGCTAGTACTGGCCAAAAGTAGCTTATGCTCAATGTCATTATCTGATCGTTATGACGCTATCCCAAACCTGCTACCTAAATGAGATTCGGCTTCACCAGGGCGGCCGACCTGAACATTCATATCTCCAGCTGGAACGACTATATCATAGTCACGTGTCGACCGAAAGAAAGCGGCCAAACACGAGCGAAACGCGTCTTTAACTCCGACATCACTATAGTCAGTTGGGACGTAAACAGACATAATGAAAAGATTTCTGAAAATCCTGCGTCTAGAGCTGGTTTCAACAGAACCCGTCAAGCGGACGGCACAAGGTCTATTGTTAACAGGAATCCAATCTAGCAACGCGACTGCAGCCGTCGGGTTGAAGACTATACCTATTCCAAATTGACCGGTGGCTGCAGCCGTGGAGTCACCCGAAGTGTATAACCACTGTCGGGTAGACAATGCGGGTGATGTTAGTTCTATACGTTGATTATTGTGGATTCTAGTTGCCGAGATACAGCAGACATCAACATACAATGAGTCTAATGTTCGTGCGAGAGCGGCCTGTTGACCTATCTGTTTTAGCTTGCGAACGTTGAAAGCACCTATATTAATTTGCATTCTAGGTCTAAGCAAGGGATGTGAAAAGTATGGAGCTGGATGGACTTACCAACACAGTGTTACTATGATTAGCTATATCTATTGTGGGAACTTCACAGTAATCACCAGAAATGAGGGTTAGGAGGGACCTGAGAACTAAATTTGATAGTGGAGTGGGGAGGGTCTGCAGCAGTATGTTTACGTCTATCCACTCTGCTGTGTGCAGCAGATAGGGCTACCCGGTTTATATTACGAGACGCTCGATGCAGTATGGAATTAGTGGTGTTGTGTTTGCTCATGGTTGTGTGTGGGCTGAGATACTGCCAGGGCGCCCAGACCTAATCAGGAGAACGATTAGGGTCCTCAGCCAAAGCCTTTGGCTCAAAAGCTTGTACCGCAAGGCAGCGGTACCAGAACTGGTACATTCTTCGGAAAAACATGCCAACCTTTCTCTAACCCCCAACATGGAGGACCAAGAGACTGATTTGTCAGGCCTCTATCTATTGACCTGCCTGGCATGAGTGACTATTGGTGTGGTGGCCACACCATCCGGTTTAGCTCAATAGATCATCGAGGTGCACGAGCCATCACACCGCGCCAGGGTCCAGTCTCGTTGTGACGAATAGCAGATGCGCCAATCGGGATTCGAACCCGAGTCGCAACTATGAGAGGGTTGTATGATACCCCTACACCATCAGCGCTATTTTAATCGGATCATCAGTTTCGGTTCTGTTACTTCCCCTGTTCTCCCGAATCTTCTTTCAAGGTCAGGACGTTTCTTTAAAAGAAACATTTTGAGAAATCAGTCCTCCTAACTCAGTTTAACCTATCTGATATTTGTTATTCTTTTTATGATATGTTGTTTTACAGTTCAAGTTTTCGTAGTTAAGATACTCAGTCTGCCGGCTTTCTTGTCGTGTTTCTTTGTTGCACTGCGTTTCAGCGGTTTGTGGTTCGTCTTTATGTAAACGCGTTGTTCAACCAAGTTTGGCCTCCGTGTGTCGGATGTCAAAACAAAATCACTCGTGTGTCACGCAGTGTTTGTTTTTCCGCAAACAAGTTCATGTTGGTTTCACCCTCTTTGTCAGAGAATAGACGTGATACCACGGTAACTGATTTTATGGTTCTGTACAGTTTTAGGGTCACTTGTTGCTCGACCGTTGTCGGTGGATTTTGTACTTCATTTTTCCATTCGAAAATTCTGTTTTATTGACATATTGTGGGTGAAATTCCTTACTTCCCAGCTTTAATATCTTGCGCGACTATCACATGGTCAGAATGTTTGTCTACGTACCACTGAGTCGTTTGTCCCTTTCGTGATTTTCGAGCAACTGTTTTTTCTGCTCGCCGTAGACCTCGTCTGGTCAGGGTACAAGCAGTCAGTACTTGTGTATGAAATCCGTCGTGCACGGGAACTAACCTGAGTCGAAAAGAATGGTTTCGCCTGCTACTCCCGTTCACAGAAAATGGACACAATTGTGACGTGCATGTGAATGCCAAACAATTTTACTAAACATTGTAAACAAAGGAACTCATAAGTACCCGTGCCAAACTGATGGTTTATAGCAATTTGATGCGTTGTTAGGTACAATCAGGATTACTGTCCGCATTTTGTCAGCAAAATATTGCACTGGAGCTTAGGTTGAGAGGTTCACCCTGTGAAACGGTTCACATCTCCGTTCTAAATGCTGCACTACCGATATAATCAATAATACAAACACGGAGATGAACACAAGCTTCGGTTTGCAAAATAAAAAGATGTCCCATCTGTTCTGTGCATTTCTGTAATATATTCTCACGGTCCTGTTTTTTGGCGGTGATGGTTTTATCCACGTTTTTTGAAACAGACTGATATTGACATTTAGTACACCAGTGTTTTCTTACTCTGGTAAGGGCCATTCGTTGGTTTAGGGGGCTCATTGTTTGATGCATCCGTGCTGCCAGTAGCACTGCTATCACGTTAGGTTAAAAACTTTAACTAAGACTCAATCGACTACGTGCTACTGAAAAGTGGCTAACCAGCAGATTGAGTTAGCTCGATAACATTTGCCGCCGAGAAATCCTTCGAGTTGCGCATCTACTTTAAGTCAACTGTTTTCACGAAGGTTGACCTATTGTACACTGACGTGTGACGTTAAATGAACAACGGGCCATCTAACGACGTCTGAATCACCATTCGAGCGTTTCTTTTGATTGTTTTCCGCTTCAAAATTGTGTTTTCCAGGACCATTTTCCAGAATCGGTTGCTACTGCATCAGACAGCCTTCCAGGTTACATACACATTGCCGACGATATGCTGATTTACGGTATAGCCCTGGAAGAGTACGGCACACATCTCGGTTTGTTTCTACAACGATGCTTGCTGGAAAATTTCATGTTTAACAACACGAGTTGAAATATATATAAAAATGCGGTCGTCTTCCACGGTCACATTTACACTTCAGAAAGCATCAGGTCGGTTAAAAATAAGATAAGCCTGATATGAGAAGTGACTGCAAAATTATATTGGACACTGCTGGGTTTTTTAACCAAACGGTTGACTGCTTGATCGGTTTCCTACCCAGGCTATCTGAAGCCGTTATGGCATCTGACAACTAAACTCTAAAGACAGCGGAATTGGATGAAGGACCAGCATAGCGAGTTTAACAAATCCAAACATCCGTTGTAACGCCAGTTTTAATTGTTTTTCATCCCAAAACTACCACAGGATGTGCGATGTGGCGACATCCAAAGTTGTTCAAGCGCAGTACTTACACAATAAAGATGGTCTTTGGATTTTTGCGATCGCTCGTTGACATAGACTAAGGAACAGTGTGCTAAGAAAGAAGGATATCTGTTGACAATGGCACAAGGTATGGAATGTTTCAACAACCAAACTTTTGACAGAAAAAAGACCTGTTTACATGAACCATAAACCGCCTATCTTGACTGTAAGCAAGCCGCTTCACGCTATTTCACGTCTCCAACGAACACTAATCCGTTTGTAAAAATACAACCTAGCACTCAAATGTTAGCTGCTTACATTCCGGAAGGTAAAAGAGTTACAATGAGCCGACGATCATTTGCTGGACGTTTGACAGTTTACTACAAATGCCCCCACGTGTGCGTTGATACGCGGAACAATCTTCAGCGGGCGACCTTGGCGGAAGGTTGCGGTGGATTTACCCCCAAGAAAACAAAAGGAACTATCCAATCACGGTGGGCTGTTTTGTTACTTACAATCAGTGACTAGCAAGGTAAAGTGCTGGGTCGGTTAACACAAGTTACTTCGGTTCATTAATTTATTCCAATAATTTGCTGGGTGACGGAAATTTAGACTGTTACTGACTTAACCGGTGGAATGAGAAAGTCAGGGGTAGCCGTAAAAGAAGAGAAGGAGATTTTGTTCAGGGTCAGCTAAAGTCACCAACCGTATCTCATGCCACAACACTCACTCGCATCACACCAACAACGTACACTAATCTGAATTTGGTTCAGATTTGCTCAGCCGTGGAACGGGAACTTTGTTACAGCCGAAATATGCATGATTATTTCATTTTTCCCCCGATTCTTTTAAGTTTTACAAAAAATCATTTTATGATTTTTGTCCCGACCAGCGCAACTTGAACCGCTACGTTGCTTCGCTCGACTGACAGCTAGTATATTTTTTTATACTTATCTTCAAGGTTTTATGACATTCACAGGCCATTCTGTCGTTCCGGCTTTAATCCTTATAGTATAATTCCATTTCACTCTACTACAACAATCTTGAGTCTGGCTAAAAGGTATGGTGGTTCAAGCCACTGCTTACCTCGACAGTGACGTGGGATATTTTAGAAGAAACGTTACTGGGAAGTTTAACATTAATAAAAGACTGAGCGCAAGGACTATAAATGGTATGGATGCAGATACACCATTGACTGCAGCACATCTTCATCTCGGAGAACGTTTCTAACCAACGATTGGAGTGATCACGAGGACTCCAGTCAGGCAGACAACACCTACCTACATTACACAGTGGAGCAGTCAGGGTCTCCTTGGTTAGTTACCAATTCGTTTCTTGACCACCACGTGCTTGTACCCAACTGTCGGTGGTCTCACTATATAGTACCCGGTAAGGTAAATGCCCAGCTGGGATGCAAACTGAGTAACTCAATCATCGTAGGTTGTGCAACACGATTAGCTGACCAATTGATTACACATCCCGAGCGTTCCGGAATACGCGCCTGCGAACGGCCATACTGCTCACGTGACCAACCCACTTAACGGGGTTAATTGACGTGGACAACGATAGTCAAACACAGCAGGTCTGTTGATATCTTCGTTGTGAACAGACCACGCTTACGAACCATAGAGCAAAACAGAACATACACAAGTGTTATGCACTCCTCCTTTAAGCCACAACTGAACATCTTTTTGATGCCACAGATGACGCAGGCTAGCTCATCGGTAATATTACAAACTGACGAGAGAGTGCTACCCAGTTATGTGGAACTTTCCACAGTCCAAAGCGAGGGTGTGACAGACATTCCACACAAACCAGCCCGGTCACTCACTTTGTTCAGCATGGTCTGCATTTCTTCAGCAGAAGGGTTAAGTAAGACACTATCATCCGCATGCTTCATGTCGATCAAGCTAGCACCAGGAAGAAGCTCAACACCAGGCCTACTGAACTGTTCAGGCGCATTTCCCAGAATGACTAAATTGAACAGGAAGAGAGAGATTAGACACCTTTGACGAGCACCAGTAGAACTGATTAACCATGAGGACAGTTATATGTAAACTCTCATCTTGCTTGCGAAGTGAACATACAGTTATCTTAACGTATTCACGTATTTCCCGGGTACTCTGTTACGACGAAAACAGTTCCAGAATAGAAAGCAGCCTTTAGACATCAAAAACTCACGATCTTCTACTGCCTATAAGAGTGCAATGTTCCAAGATCCATCGCAAGGTAAAAGTGTGATCAACGCACCCTCGACCGGACCGGAATACTGCCTGTTCTACACGTATCTGACCTTCACTGGGCTTAATGAGCCGACATAATATAAGGCCAGTGAGTAGCTTGGACGCAACAGATACTAGACTGATCCCTCTGTGGTTGTCGCGTAGACTTCGGGCCTTTTGTAGATGGAAATTACTGTTGATAAGCACCAATCACGAAGTACTTCTTCAGTTTCCCAAACTGCCTGAAAAAGTTTTGTCAATCTCAGCATCAACCTCTCCCCAAGAGAAGGAGGGAAGAGATTTGGTCTAGAAGCCATATTAAGCTCCAGTAATTTCAGGTCCAGGACCACTCCTGCTTCCGACTGAGGACCGCCGGGAACACAATAACTGACCATTCGTTTCCCGTCTTCTACATGGTCTGGTTGAGGCCAGCCAAACTGCTCTTCAAAATGTTCAGCCCACCTGTCAAGCCCATGCGACTGACTGGTGATAAGTGAACCATCTTTTTCACCTATGTTCTCGCCTAGACCGACTGGTCGGTACAACCACGGACCATGGGAAATAGCTTTCTGCTATTCCCAGATAAAAAGGCTTGTTCTATCTATTGACTGTTCAACCAACTGGTATTCACGGTGTCTCTACATGCTTTTAGTCAGCTTGCATTTGAGTTCCCGACGGTCGTCACCATGTTCAGAGTCAGGTGGAATCGAACAACACTTGTTCGTAGGGTTTATTGACGCGAAAGAAATCCAGTTCTGTCGTAACTGTACGGGTT